TATCAGTGGTACCAAGGGCTAAATGGAAGTGCTGACCTCAGAGATGCACAAGGAACTCAGAGGGTGAGAGAACTGTACATCTTGATCATGGCGGCAGCTGACTGTAAACGTCAAAACTTATAAAAATATACTAAGATGGATGAATTTTACTGAATGTAAACTATACCATAATAATTAAAAAAGAGAAAAACCAAAACAAAGTTGAGTTTTGTTTTGTTTTTGTTTTTGTTTTTGTTTTTGTTTTTGTTTTTTGACAGGCAGAGTGGACAGGGAGAGACAGAGACAGAGAGAAAGGTCTTCCTTTACCGTTGGTTCACCCTCCAATGGCCGCCGCGGCCCGCGCACTGCGCTGATCCGATGGCAGGAGCCAGGAGCCAGGTGCTTTTCCTGGTCTCCCATTGGGTGCAGGGCCCAAGCACCTGGGCCATCCTCCACTGCACTCCCTGGCCACAGCAGAGAGCTGGCCTGGAAGAGGGGCAACCGGGACAGAATCCAGTGCCCCAACCGGGACTAGAACCCGGTGTGCCGGCGCCGCTAGGCGGAGGATTAGCCTAGGGAGCCGCGGCGCCAGACCCAAAGTTGAGTTTTAAAAATAAGTTTCAGGGGCCGGCACTGTGGCACAGCAGGTTAAAGCCCCAGGCTGCAGCACTGGCATGCCATATGGGCACCGGTTCAAGCTCCATTTCTGATCCAGCTCTCTGCTATGGCCTGGGAAAGCAGTAGAAGATGGCCCAAGTCCTTGGGCCCCTGCATCCGCGTGGGAGACCCAGAAGAAGCTCCTGGCTTCAGATCAGCTCAGCTCTGGCCACTGTGGTCATTTGGGGAGTGAACCAACAGAATTGAAGACCTCTCTCTCTCTTTCTCTTTGGTTCTACCTCTCTCTGTAACTCCATCTTTCAAATAAATAAAATAAATCTTTTTAAAAAATAGATTTAATAGAGTACAGAATGCAGGCTTCTTTTCAGTCTGTAAAAGCTCTCTACTTACAAAAACTGAATAGGATGTTATCGTTTCTCTCTCTCTCTAATTAATTAATTAATTAATTCCAAAGGCAGAGTTACAGAGAGAAAGAGAGCACATATGCAAGATCCTCCATCCACTGGCCCATTCCCTACATGGCCACAACAGCTGCAGCTGGGCAGATCTGAAGCTAGGAACCAACAGTCCGCTCCAGGTCTCCCATGTGGGCACAGGGGCCCAAGGACTTGGGCCATCTTCTGCTGCCTTCCCAGACCCATTGGCAGGGAGCTGGATTGGAAGTAGAGCAGCCAGGACTCGAACCAACGCCCATTTGGGATGCTGGCACTATATGCAGCTTTACCCACTATGCCACAGTGCCAGCCCCAGGATATTATCATTTCAAAGTCAATACTCATGCCCAAAACTGGTCTACGTATTAACTACAAGTCAAATGCAGTTGGTCACGGGTCTTAAATACTTCTTCTTGTGTTCATTTTCACAGTCCTGTCGGAGCACTGAACATTGCACGTCTGCACTACTACAATGGTCTTCTATACATTCCTAGCCGCTGGTCGCCACATCATCCAACTAAAGTGACAGCAGAGTACGATGCACTCACACGATCTTTTGCTAAAACCTATACCCTACAGGATAAGTTCCAAACGCCTAAGCACAGCATTTGAAGCATGTTACAACCTACCGTTCCTGTTACCTACACAGTACCAACTCTGGCCCTCTACACAACCACACACAAAATAATCTACTCTCTACCCACACAGCACTTGCCAAACCTCTTTGCATTTTCAAATCTCTCTACCTATGTACAGGCCTGTATCTGTCTGCCAAGCAATACCAGTCATACCAGTCCAAGTTTACTTTCTCTATGGTAGGTTTTTTTTTTTTTTTAAGATCTATTTATTTGAAAGACAGAGGTACAGAGAGAGGTAGAGAAACAGAGGTCTTCCATCCAGTGGTTTGTGGGGAGCAACTCGGACTAGACTAAGTTACTGGAATTAAGACTTATTCTATGCATCTGCTCTCCCACAATATGGTGCTGAGAAGGGAGTAAACAACTTCTACACAGCTGCCTCCAGTTCGACCAATAACCTGCAGGAGCTGATCCTGCTCCTGATTGGAGGAGAGCAGCGTACTCGGCGTGTGGGTAGCAGAGTTGGGATTGGTGGAAGAGGACTATAAAGGAGGAGAGAGACAACATGCACCAGGAACATCTAAAGGGAACATCTGGATAACATCTGAGCAGCCCCCGAGAGAGCCGGCCAGCGGTGTGCCACTCCCCCGCGGAAGTGGGGAAAGTGGCAGGGGGAGCCGCCCTTCCACGGAGGTGGAAGGATCGGCAGCCAACCCAGGAAGAACCAGCAGCAAACCCGGGAAGGGCCGAGCAGACAAAAGAACAGCGCAGGGTCCTGTGTCGTTCCTCAGCGAAGAGGCGGAGCGACAGTGGTTCACTCCCCAAATGGCCGCAGCAGGCAGACGTGAGGCAATCCAAAGCCAGGAGATAGGAGCTTCTTCCAGGTCTACCACGTAGGTGCAGGAGCCCAAGCACTTGGGCCATCCTTTACTGCTTTCCCAGGCGCATTAGCAGGGAGCTGGATTGGAAGTGGAGCAGCCAGGACTCAAACTGGCACTCGTATGGGATGCTGGCACTGAAGGCAGCAGCTTAACCCGATAGGCCACAGCATCAGCCCTGTCTATGGTAGTTTCTTCCTCTGAGCCCCTACTGTATATTGAAAAAAAATGTCTTCCTTGCCCACATACTTGAAGCGCCTGCTTGGGAAGTCTAAACATACAGTCACTCCATCAAAATCAGTTAAATGAGTAACTAAGCAAATTGGATTATGTGCAATGGGAAGCCTAAAATTACTCTGTTTAAAACCAAACCAGGGCTGGTGCTGTGGTGTAGCAGGTAAAGCCACCTCCTGCAGTGCCGGAATCCCATAAGGGCGCCAGTTCCAGTCCTGGCTGCTCGGCTTCCAAACCAGCTTTCTGCAGTGGCCTGAGAAAGCAGAAGTCCTTGGGCCTCTGCACCTACGTGGGAGACCTGGTGGAAGCTTCTGGCTCATGGCTTCTGATCAGCTCAGTTCCAGCCATTGAAGCCATTTGGGGAGTGAATCTGAGGTTGGAGGACCTCTGGCTCTGCCTTTCAAATAAATAAATTAAAAATTAAAATTAAAATAAAAAACAGAAGGGAGGGCATGTGGCACAATGAACTAAGCCACTGCTTGTAAAGCCTGCATCCCATATCAGAGCACCAGTTCAAGTCCCACCTAGTCTGCTTCTGTTCCAACCTCCTGCTAATGCATCTGGGAAGGCAGCAGAAAATGTCCCAAATACTTAAATCTCTGCCACCCATGTGGGAGACTTGGACGGAGTCCCGGGCTCCTGGCTTCAGCCTGACCCATCCCTGGCTGCTGAGGGCATTTGGAGAGTGAACCAGCAAATGGAAACTCTTTCTCTTTCTGCCTTTCAAATAAATAAACCAAAACAGAATCACATTTTTAAACTACATTTGCACAGAGTTAAAATCTTGAACTCTCCCTTGTTGGCCTTTGTGAGCCATGTACTATTACTAAACCTATCAAAAATATCTGCAATATATCAAGCCAATTTCTTATCAGCCATTAATAAGTCAATTGGATTTTTTCCATGCTTCTGCCTTTCTATGTTGTCCAAAATTCATAACGTCCTGCTCTGAGCAAATTAGCTACATTAATATGCTGACAATGGTGGCTTCTTATGGTTTGGATTTTCCTAAGGGTTTTCAGCTTCAGATATGAACTGGTTGTGTTCCATAAATTGGTACAGATTAATAAATCAGATTTAGAGAGAAACATGATTTATTACTTTCTATTTAGTTCAATTCAATAAATATGTACCCATTATAAAAAATATCCTAGAGGCAGGAAGGGTACATCATGGCTTTAGGTCTCACAGATTTCATATAATAGAAGGAATCAGAACAAGGTACATTACACGGCAATCAAATCAGAACTGGACAGAATCCAAGAGGTACAAAGTGTTGTGGGTATTTAAAGACAGATAGTACTTAAGATAGACCATAAAAGAATTTTTACTGCAGAAATGATATTCTGGACAGAGAAAGAAGAGTGAGAAGACAAAGATATTTAAGAGCTTGTAAAAGGTAGGAATATGACAGATTCTGTAAATGAAGTATGTCCCATACCCTTTGTGGAACAAAGAGTGTGAATAAATGGTTAAACAATTGCCAAGAATTTCAGGAGACAAAAGGGAGTCAATTAGTAGTAAAAGATGCAGTGAGATTAAAGAGAATAAGGAGGGAAAATAAAGACAAGTACATTCAATTTCATTCAGACCAGTGGTGGCCCTGCCTTACCTCAGCAGTAAGAAACCAGCCTGGGCGTATTCCAGCATGGAAAAGCAAAGGCAGCCAAGAGAAAGGGCTCATCACAAGAGACAACAATTAAGGCGAGGGGACAAACAGAACAGAGCTTTTAGAACAGGGACCACCTGAACGTGTGTGCAGAGGGAAAGGCATGGAAAGAGAAAAAGGCAAAGATGCAAAAAGGTATGCTAATCCCCAGAGCCTTGCAGTGAACCGGCAGCTGTCTCCCTCTGGGAAGGAGGGACACTTCTCTGAGTGATGCCAGAGGGCTGGGAGAGACAGTGCCTGCAGACTGCACCAAGAGGAAGAGATCAGCAAGAGACACCAGCAGTGATGAGGGCCATGCACAGGTCCCATGGGCAACCTTAGCTGAAGACTTTCCCTAACCGCCCGCCTCGGGCACCTAACCGTGGGACAGGAAAGCTGGGGGACTCGCCCGGGCAGGCGGCTCCCTTGGGACCACGCTGTCCCCTTTCTGAACAGAACTTCCCTAAGGCTGATGAAGTCGCCAGTCTCAGAGCCATGTTATTACAGCAGTGTAATGAGATACTTCTCTGAATCCTAAGACAATGCAATTAGGATCGCTTTACAAGGAAAGCGTCACCAACCAGGAAGTCAGAAGGCTTCGCTGACGGACCACACTCAGAACGCCACTTACCTGGCAGCCTCAGGAAAACCCATCTTGTAGAGTGTGACAACCGCAGCTCCTCCGAGGCCCAAGTTATGCTGCAGAGCAACCTTTGCACCAGGAACTTGCCTCTTTCCGGCTTCCCCTCTCAGCTGCCAGCAGAGTTCGGCACATTGAGCCAGACCTAGCAAATCGAACACAGAGCAGCCAGAAGCCGCTGGTTGGAAAAGCAGCCTCCACCAGCCTTCTCTAGCCAGAAAAAAGGGCTAGCGTTTAATCATGACTTTTAATTAAAGCACTTGACTAAGCCGGGACCACATGTGCCTAGATAATTTCTCTTACTGCACCGAAGGATTCTGCAGCTACTTTTCCCTCCTAAGTAATTTCTGTATTTCGGCAGCAGCCAGGCGTAGGAAAATCCCTGCACTCTTTCAACTTAATCAGCTTTTAACTCTTTTAACTTAATTCGGTGGCACACAGAAAATCTATGAATGCACAGTTCTCTGGCCCAGGAAAAATGGCATAAAAACAGTTCCACTAATTTAATCATTTTAGTGTAGAAAAAGAAAGAATTTGGGAATTCACTTTCCCTAAAAAATACTTAGCTGGTAGCAGGAATTTTTCCCATTCTTTTCCCCAAGTTGTTCTTAACAAGAATGAATTGTTTTTTAGATCTATTCATGAGAAAAGCTCTGGATTCACAACAATATTCCAGCCCTAGGATAATAAAGTCAAAGGTGTTTTGAGTTGGAAAAAAGTTAATGATGCAAATATTGAGAAACAGAAAGGTTAAATAATCTGTAAATGGCCACAAAGCAGGCTAATTCCAGAGATGGGATGAAAACTCAGGCCTCTGGACTGAGACGTGTGGATCTATCAGCACAGCTTTCAGGATGGCGAGTTAAAAACATCTTATCAGGATCGACTAGTTTCACCTTCCTGCAGGCGGAGCGCCACAGGTTTACCTGGTTTCTGTTCTTCCACCCACACTCCTAGGTAACTTTTGACTTCCAAGCACCTGGGACAGCCTCCTATGTAAACCCCAACCACCTTCTCAAGAAATTTTAACTGCTACTTTCCATTTCCAAACAGGGTCAAAATCAACAGTGCCTTTACTTCACTTAAAAATATATGCATTGTAAGCACTGTTTTATAGTAAACCTACTATTTAGGTAACTCTACTTCTTCTAACGATTTTTAAAATTCTGAGCATTCTGAAAATTTATGAGGAAGGTCAAAATGAAATTGACTGGGGGCCCGCTGCTGTGGTGTAGCAGGTAAAGCCACTGCCTGCAGTGCCGGATCCCATATGGGCGCCAGTTCAATTCCTGGCTGCTCCACTTCCTGATCCAGCTCTCTGCTACAGCCTGGGAAAGCAGTAGAAGATAGCCCAAGTCCTTGGGCCACTGCACCTCGTGGGAAGACCAGGAGGAAGCTCCTGGCTCCTGCCTTCAGATCAGCTCAGCTCTGGGCGTTGCAGCCAATTGGGGATTGAACCAGTGAATGAAAGACCTCTCCCCTCCCCCTTTCTCTCTGCCTCTCTTTCTCTCTGTGTGTAACTCTTTCAAAAAATAAATAAATCTTTCAAAAAAATGAAATTGACTGCATTACATCCAAATTTCAGGGAAAACAATTTTACTAGAAATCTGCTTGACCAAAGTATTCAAACTGGTTTCACATAAACATGGTGGGAAAGTACTGCTAGTTATCTACACAAAAGAATAAATACACAGTTTATAATTAAATGAAGTAGTAATTAAACAAAAAAAATCATTTTAACCAAATTGGTAAAAATGTTTAAAAATGGAAAGAAATCAACACTGGGGAAACTAAGGCAAGGTATCCACTTCCACACAGTACTGGTGAAAATTTACACCAGCACAATGCTCTTGGAAAGCTAAGTACAAAGTTATTAAGAGTTATTAAAATACCTTGAAAATCAAACATAGACAAGTTTTATAGCCAAATTTACCTGTTCATTATGCTGCTTTAACAGTGGAAAAACTAGAAAATCCAGAACTGAAATAACTGGGGAATGGTTATAAAATTGTGCCTGGATGAGGGCTCCGTCCCACAAGATTGCCTCCACTTAGATGCCAGTCACAAGGCCAGGACGCTGTGCTTCTGACTAATGCCAGCTAGCTACAAACCTGGGTACCCTGGACCTCCTCTTGGATTTGATTAATTTGCTAGGATGGCTCATAGAACTCAGGGATGTTACAGAAGACGCAGATGAAGAGTGACAGAGGGCGAGGTCTGGAAATGCCCTGAACACAGGGGCATCTGTGCCCAGCCTCCTAGGGTGCAGGTACTTTTACCCACCAGAAAGCTCATCAAATCTCTTGGCTTAAATATTTTATAGAGCTTGATCACCAGTGCCCCCTTTCTGGAGACCAGTGGGTGGGGCTGAAAGTTCCTACCCTCTAATCCTCTAATAATGTGCTCTTTCAGGGCTGGCACTGTGGTGTAGCAGATTAAGCCATGGACTGCAGTGCTGGCATCACAAACGGATGCCAGTTCAAGTCCTGGCTGCTCCATTTCCCATCAAGGTCCCTTCTAATGCACCTGGGAAAGCAACAGAAGCTGGCCCAAGTGTGTGAGTTCCTGGACTCTCGTGGGAGACCCAGATGAAGCTTCTGGTCCTGACCTCAGAATGGCCCAGCTCTGGCCCTTGCAGCCATTTGGGAAGTGAACCAGTAAGAAGACTCACTCACTCTCAATCTCTCTCTCTCTCTCCTCCCTCCTTCTCTAATTCTGCCTTTCAAATAAGTAAATTTTTAAAAAATAATCTGGTCTGTCTGGTGACCAGCCCCATCCTGAAGTTTTCTTAGGGGTCCCATCCTCAGTCACCTCACCTCTTTTGTAGAAATTCAGGTATGATGAATGGGCTTCTTAGGAGTAACAACAGATACTAACCATCACTTAAGAAATTCAGAGTGTTCTAGAAACTTTCTAGAAGAACAAATACACAGGGGCCGGTGCTGTGGTGCAGCGGGTTAACACCTTGGCCTGAAGTGCTGGCATCCTATATGGGCACTGGTTCTAGACCCAGCTGCTCCACTTCCGATCCAGCTCTCTGCTATGGCCTGGAAAAGCAGTAGAAGATGGCCCAAGTCCTTGAACACCTGCACCCGTGTGGGAGACCCAGAGGAAGCTTCGGATTGGCGCAGCTTCAGCCATTGTGGCCAACTGGGAAGTGAACCAGCGGATGGAAGACCTCTCTCTCTCTCTCCCTCTCTCTCTCTTTCTCTCCCTGCCTCTCCTCTCTCTGTGTAACTCTCAGTCTCAAATAAATGAATCTTTAAAAAAAAAAAAAAGAACAAATACATCTATCATCCTTATTCAGGAAATTATAAAGGACTTAACAAACTGTTCCAGGAACCAGAGGAAGACCAAAAAGTATTTCTTATCACCTGCCATATGACAAAATACTATGTTCCCATTTAAATTGTTTATAAAAATTTTAATATAGGAAAGTGCTTATAAATCTTAGTAAAAATTGAAGGGTTACCAACTGGATATGTATTTACCCATCCATCCAACAAATATGTACTGAATGCCTTTTATGTGCCAGGCATGGCACGAGGCTCAAAGATACATCAATAGCAAGATAAACATGACCCTTTCCCTCATGAAGCAGACAGGCTGAGCACACAGGGGCTGGCATTTACAATGCAGTCTGATAAAGCTGCCACAGCCACAAGCACGGGTGCCATAAGAGCACAGGGGAGGAACACCAAGCACAGCTTAGAAAGTCAAGAAACGGGGCCGGTGCTGTGGTGTAGAAAGCTAAGCCTCAGCCTGCAGTGCCAACATCCCTTGTTGGTGCCAGGTCAGTTCTTGGCTGCCACTTCTAATCCAGCTCTCTACTAATGCATTTAGGAAAGCAGTGGAAGATGGCCCAAATGCGTGGGCCCCTGCACCCACATGGGAAACCCCGAAGAAGCTCCTGGCTCCTGGCTTTGAATCAGCCAGGCTGTGGGTGTTGCAGCTTTTTGGGGAGCAAATCAGCAGATAGAAGATCTCTCTGTCTACTCCCTCACCCTGCCCCGTAACTCTGCCTTTCAAATAAATAAATAAATCTTTCTTTAAAAGTAAGAAAATTCTTTTTTTCCTCTGCTTGGAAAAAAAAATAAACTACCCAAAACAAACATGATATAAAGAAATTGCATGGGCATAGGGCTGAGCATCCTGTCAGAGTATGCAGAGGATCAACCAGTCAGTAATTCTCTTCTGAAGAGAGAGAAATTATTAACCTGAATACTCCATTTACCATCACATTACTACAAAAATGTTCTAACAAACAGCTGACGCTGTGGCATAGCAGGTAAAGCCGCCGCCTGCAGCGCTGGCATCCCATATGGGCATCTGCTTGAGTCTCAGCTGCTCCATTTCTGATCCAGCTCTCTGCTATGGCCTGGGAAAGCAGCGGAAGATGGCCCAAGTCCTTAGGCCCCTGCACCCATGTGGGAGACCTGGAGGAAGCTCCCGGCTTTGGATCGGTGCAGCTCCGACCATTGCGGCCAAATGGGGAGTGAACTGGCGGATGGAGGCCCCCCCCTCCTCTGCCTCTCCTCTGTGTAACTCTGAATTTCAAATAAATATTTAAAAAAAAAAAAAAAAAAAAAGATGATAACAGCTCCGTTGCTTACTTGGCACATGATCGGGATGTGGAACTGTCTCTCCAGGTTCCAGGCTCAGAGGGGCTTCAGGACTAGAAACGGCGCTCCTCGTACAGGACAAATCTATTAAAAGTCCTCAGAAGGTCAAACAAAGAACACACGACTGTAGCACCAGAAGCTTTC